AGGAACAAAGCTTAAGGTCAAAATCAGGACCGGGGACATAGGCCTTCGAGAACATGGACGAAGACATAGGACGGTAGACGACGAAGACGACAAGTTCAAGTGTGATTGCGGCTTCGAATGCGAAGACCGTGTTCATGTAGTCGCGGAATTTCAGTGGTAGAAGGAGGAGAGGGAGGTGTACATGACTGAGCTGGGAAAAAAAGATGGGACGTACAGGGAGATGTTTGAGGCATGGAATAGAGAGGAAAGGACGGTAGCTGTACTGGGGCATAGGAGGTGGGTTGAGAAGGCGGGAAGGGATATCGGTAGGATAGGCAGACTAGGGAAGNTTGCGGCTTCGAATGCGAAGACCGTGTTCATGTAGTCGCGGAATTTCAGTGGTAGAAGGAGGAGAGGGAGGTGTACATGACTGAGCTGGGAAAAAAAGATGGGACGTACAGGGAGATGTTTGAGGCATGGAATAGAGAGGAAAGGACGGTAGCTGTACTGGGGCATAGGAGGTGGGTTGAGAAGGCGGGAAGGGATATCGGTAGGATAGGCAGACTAGGGAAGACATTTGAGCCACCTTTGGCAAAGTAGAAAGGAACGATTGGCCATCGGTGATCGGTCCTGTGGGAGCAATGCTCCGTCCTCTCGAGGACGCGCGGTCAGTGGTCTAACCGCTAAGGCATGCAAAACATAGAGTACGCCGCCCCACCCCCCCCGTGCTTCTGAAACAAATCGTTCACTTCGTGAGCTCGGCAACCAGGTTACCGCTTCTTTTTTTCCGTTGCTTTTTTTTTTGCGGTAACCATAAGGGTGGTTAAGTAGATTATATTGTGCAAGGTCGAGAACCCTCACTCCGCGCAAGGGGGATGATCGCACCAGGTTGTGTTAAATTGGTAAAGCACCCTCGGGGCAGTTAACAGTGCTTACAACTGTCTCTGGAAGTGAAGCACCAGAAAATAGAGTTGGGTCATTCGTAGCTGTCATCGGTACGCAAGGAAGTAAGCACAAGATGCCAAACACCGCTAGCAGGATGCAGCGCACCCTTCATGCGACTGGCCGAATACGTCTCGGCGCTTCTCGCTTGGTGATGGGAGAGCCTGGTCCGGTGAGAACCCGGCGTGCTCCGTCCCGGCTTTGTAGAGATGCGAGGTCAATGGCCTAACGACTACGGCATGCACGACTTTGAGTACACTCCCCCCCCCCACCGTACTTGTCGGTTTTTAGATATGAGCGAATCTATTCTGTATTGAGTGAAGTGTACGGAAGTTATCCCCGCGACCGTTGACTGTGTGTGTGTCTAAATTATTATCATCGACATCGCTAACCGGCTGACCGATGAACCGCCGTACGTCAGTCTCAGTGCGGTTGCGTGTGTGTGTACGCGCGCGTGATACAAAAGGGCGCAAGACACGTTTAGACCGGGGAGATCGGTGGCCGTCAAGGTGATGAACCTCGGCTGCGGAGCTATCGGCATCCGAGAAGTGAGGTTTATGAGATTCCTCAGCTCCGTGCCCCATTCCGAGTTCCGGCCAGGTGGGTGTTATATGTGTGCTTGGGTGGTTTTGCATGAGCATCGACCGGGTCTGCCGGGTGACCAATGGTAAGACATCAGTGATGCCAAGGTCTCGCAAGTCATCCTTAAAAGTCGAAGAGTGAGCATTGTGTGTGTGTGAGCTTTGTGTGTTTGATTGTTCGTATGTTAGCATGATCCGCGCGAAATCAGCTGACCACTGAAAAAATACGTCAGCCTTCAAGCGATTAAATAAACGCATCCTAGCATCTAGCACGCGGAGAAGTCTGGAAGATTCTACTGTATGGTGTGTACGCGTGTGTGCGGGCACTTGAAAAGGGGGCAGCTGGCGAGATGTGTTGCTGCCCCAGCTTTATAGACGACCTGCGGAAGTTTAGGCGTGTGGGATTGTTTCTTGTGGGAATCTCGCCTCGACGGCGGCTGCGTTAATTGCAACCTTTCTTGTGCGATATTCTTGTTCTTGGCTTGTGCATAAGCATCGTTCCCGGACTCCACCTCCCCCCCCGCGCGCCTCCTATTGCCGTTTGGTTTGTGTGGCAACTGTGGCGCTGGCATCGGCCGTGACCCTCATGTACCCCCCTCCCCGAGTGTTGCGTGAGCGGCTGTAGAACACGCTGAACCTCTGCTCTCTAACACCAGCCTGCCCTCCGACCGCCGACCTTTCCCTTCGAATGGCGGGTGGTGCCCCCTGCCGCAGTGGTTAGGCTTCTCGATGCTCTCACCTACCAGGGGCACTACTGCCTCGTCACCGAGCTCTTCAGCGGCACTCTGTCTCTCTTGGGTGCGGAGGGGGGAGCGGGGCAGCGGGAACGAACCAGCGTGCCAGCAGCAGCAGCAGCAGAAGCTGAAGCAGAAGCAGCAGCGCTACCGTCGACGACGACGACGACGACGACGACGACGACGACGACGACGCACAACAGCAGCACCAGATCCTACTCGAGCGCTGTCGAGAAGTGGTCGGTTGCCCGTCTCTTCGTCGACCAGGGAGCCCGCGAAAGCCCGGGGGGCTTTCAACGGGTGGGCGCTCCTGCTGAGCCAAGCGGCAGGCTAGGGTGGAGTAGCCTAGCGGGCGTCGGAGCGTCGTCACCCTCGGGCGGTGGCCTCGAGGACAGCGTCAGCAGCAATGGCAGCAGCGGCATAGGGCGGAAGAAGGGGGAGCGCGGCGCAGGCGACGGCGGTGCCGCCGGGTTTTCGTCCGGCGGCGGCGGTTGCCCCGTGGCCGTCATCCGGCACGTTGCTCTCCAGCTGGTGAGCGCGCTGCTGCTGCTACACAGCCACGGGCTCATCCACGCGGACGTCAAGCCCGAGAACGTTCTCCTGAGGATGGAAGGGCGGCGGCAGGAGGGGGAGGGGGGGGGGGGNNNNGGGGGGGGGGGGGGGGGGGGGGGGGGGGGGGGGGGGGGGGGGAGGCTGGCCGCCGCGGCCGTCCCCTGTGCCTCGCTGATTTCGTTAGCGGACGAGCAGGTGGCGGCGGCGGTGGTGGTGTTGAACGGCTGACGGTGAAGTTGGGAGACTTGGGCAGCGCCATCCATCGCAGTGAGACTTACCTGTTTTACGGAGACTTCGAGATACAGACGCTCGCCTACAGGGCACCAGAGGCAAGGGGGTGTACCTTGTAGCGGTGGGTTTCGATGCTGGCTGCGAGGTTGTGTGTTTTTAGTAGTGGAGTCTTTTTCGCTTTGGAAGAGGTTGCACTGTAGGCTCGTCGAGTTTGCCCCTTCGCGAAAACAATGTCTGCTGCTTGCTCCCTCGCATGTTTGTCCTTTTGAAGAGAAGATTTGTAGGTTGGATCCAATATGTAGGCCGATTGGTCTTGCTTACCAAAAACTCGAGACGCAAGTGTAGGTGTTCCATTGCCCTTTAAAACGGGATATGGAGCCAGGGCGGCGGTTGAATACCACATGTCGGTGATGCTTTTTTTGTCGTGTTTTTCCGCAGGGGACGCCGTGCCTTGTGTGACCTCCATACGGACAACATGTGTGTGGTACTCGCTCTCTCCATAGTTGTTTCGCAGATTGTTGAAGTGTATTTTTTTTTTTCTCCCATTATTGGACTCTGTCGTCTGCCCCTCTGGCCCCTATCCTCCACTTCTACTAGCTAGACGACCCAACCGGGGTCACAGAGGAGGGGGGGACTGGACCCCCTCCTGCGGTTCCTGCCTGAGGTATTTTTATCGCGAGAAGGGTACAGCAATCCCTTCCCTCGCGACGTACGACGTCGATTATGGTTTACTGACAACGATAAATACCCACGTGATTATCGACATGCCCGTCGTGCGCATGCTCGAAAGATCTGACCACGCTCACTTGCTCCGCCACTCCCCACCCTGCGGTGTCGACTAGCAGGTGCTCATGGGGTGTCCTTTTGGACCAGCTGTTGACGTTTGGGGCGTGGGTGTTATTCTTCTGGAGCTCCTGCTAGGCCGGCCTCTTTTCGACACCGCCGGCTCGCGCGTGGCCTTGGTACACCAGACCGTGTGCGCCTTGGGGCCGATGCCGCTTAGGCGTTTTCGAGTCGGCCACTACTTCTCCGAGTATTTCCCTAAGGGTATGTCTTTGCAGGTAGGCCCGACTTGCAGGAGTGAGAGAAGTGGCGCCGCAAGTGGGCGCGCGCAAAGTGCTTGGGGGGGGTCCACCACCACACTGCTGCTGCAAGCAGCTCCAACTTGCCAGTTCTGAAGCTCTCGGTGTTTTTTTTGTTATATTTTCATCACTCAGCGCTCACGGCTTTTCTGTCGGGTAAGAGCTCCAATCCGCGATCACACGATAGGGCTCTCCTCCCCGTGAGGCCCCGTACGCACCCGCCCATTTCCTGCTGTGCTTGCGCCTTCGATGGTTATCGCGAGAAGAGTGCAGCACTCACTTCCCTCAAAGTGTACACACACGAACTTACAGCGCTTCCCACCAAAACTCCATATGAACGGGAGCTAGAGAAACCTCGCTTTGAAATGAAAGCCCGCTTACGCCGGGATTCGAACCCCTGCCCCTGGTCGCGAGAAGGTCGCAAGGGGACCAACTAGAGTACCGGGGCGACCGGCCTCGTACCAAATTCAAATCGACTGTAATACTTGATGCCACATTGTTGGGACCACTTAATTTACTTATTTGTTGCCAATGTGCGTGAAACACGAATCGAAAACATAAGACATGCCCGACAATATCGTACGCACGGGCGGTGTGTGTGTGCTATACAGATACACACAGAAATTGCTGCACAGAGCGCCACAGATTGAACGCGCGAGAAATTCATACAAGGAATACAATAATATGCATGTACCATGGTCCATCCTCAAAAGCCGCAACAGACGATACCATAGCTTCCCTCGTTTGGCTGTCCGTTTAAGGCGTGTACATAGAAGCCCTCATCCCGTTCCCGCTTGCGTTCCCGCTTGCTTGCCCGCCTAATTATTCGCTGCTTATGCGGCAGGCAGGAATACCCACAGCCAACTCCGGAGACGAACACATGAGGATGGGCTGCTGCTCTTGCTGCTGGATAAGAGTCAGGCGTTCACCGGAAGAAAACCCCGACGTCAGCTCCTGCGACGGCTGTTGCGCTCTACGTTGTCGTCGTCTGTCAGACATGCGTGGCGATGGGTCGGCGGCACCTCTTGCAGCAGCGGCCGCCGGGCGTCGAGGGCTCGGCCCCCCCGCAGGGTCCACGGGGTGTTCAAGCTCGGAGGCCTGCATTTCCCGGCTCATCGGCACGCCTCCGCCACCATCACCACCGCAACAAGCCCCTGCTGCCGCGGGGCATGCCGCGGCGGCCGCCAATAGCGCGTCCGAGCACCACCATCGCCATCGCCAACACAGCAAGCACCCCCGCCTTGCCAGACCGAAACCCCGCCGTCCCCCCAGCGCGACGACCGCCGTCGCCGGGCAGAAGAACAAGCGCCTCCTGAGCCTCATCAGCGGGCTGCTTCGCTACGACCCCGACGAGCGGCTGACCCCGGCACAGGCTCTGGCCCACCCGTTCTTCGGCGAGACGCTACCCTTCGCAGTCCTGCCGCCGACGGCCGTTGCACCTAGCCGTGGCCAGACTTCCGGAGGCACGGGGGGGGGCGCCGCGGCTGCGAGATGCCGGACGGTGGAGCCTACAGCTCCGGCTCAGGGCGGGCACCACGGAGACCGACGACAACCCCCCGGTCCTCAGCCAACGGGTGCTGCACCACGTCCCGTCGCCACTTCGCGGCGGCAAGAAGAAGAACCAGTGCGGACAAGAAGCTTGCCCGACGGTAGCGGCGGCGTCGACAACGGGTGGCAGCGGGCGCGGCACGAGGAGGCGACGACATCGACGTGCCGTAGCGGAAGCGTCGACGCCGATGCCGCCCGCGCCTCGCCCGCCCGCGTGGTTTCGACGACGACGCCTTTCCGTCGTCATGATGACGTCGCCGGTTCTCGTGGCAACGGCACCTCTTCCGTGCCACCACGCCCGACTGGGAGCTCCTCCGGCGCCGCTTATCGCAGAGAAGAGGCGGAACCGACCGCGCAGCTCCAACAGCTGGCAGAAATGGCGGAGGTAATCGTCAAGGATAATTCCCGTTACAGCCACGGCCGAGTAGGCGGCATCGGAAACGGCAACGGCAACGGCAGCGCGCCGGCGCCGGCGCCACGTCGAAACCGCTTCCTGAACGCTGAACGCTTCGCCAGCCTAAAGCGCGAAAGTTCGCCGGCCGAATCCGAGGTTCCCGCAGTGTCTGGAACGCCGACGGAGGAGCGGCGGCATCACGCCCAGCCGCCGCCAGCTGCTGTGACAAGCGGACGACGAAGACCCAACCGCTTTCTCACTCCCGCCACTCTAGCCATCCTCAAGCCCGACCTGGGGGTTACAAGAAGACAATACGCTGACGACATAGCGGCGGCGGCGGCGGGGGGGGGGGGGGCAACGTCAAAGGCGGCAACATCAGAGGCGGAGGTTGACAAGGCGGGTGGATATTTAGGCCTGTGCGCGCAGCGAACAACTTCGGCGTCGACAACCAAGGCAACAACGCCGCCCGCGGCACATCAGGATCCCTCGAGCATGGAGAAGGTGCAACGCCTCTTGTGGGAAACCCCGGGAGCGGCGGCGGGAAGAGAAGTAGTGGTGGTGGCTACGCGGGAGTCAGAGGACGTCGGGGTAAAGCCCGCCGCCGCTCCTAGTGAACAGCAGGAGCCCTGTGCTACAGCACGAAAACGCGCAAGGAAGTCGGCAACGGGTGATCGGGCACGTGCTGCCAACAAAGGCCAAGGAGCTACGAATCCTTCGAGGGTGCGGGAGCGGGGGAGGAGCACCACTCCGCGAAGAGCGGCCATGGCCGCGGAAGCGGCGATCATACGTTTGAGAGAAGACGACGAATCGTCCGACGGTTCTCTGTCTCTGTAAGCAGCAGGCCATTACCATAGCTCTCTTATAAATAGAAGCTACTCTGAAGTTGGTAGATCGTGCTGCTTGCACACTTCACGTTCCGTGTGGTCGTTAAGTCGATCGTCATCGTTCGTGGGATATTGTTAGTAGGGCCACACGACCTTAATGCTTGAAATGTATCCGATGTGATGTGATTTGTGCGTGTGTATAGAACCGAAGCTAGTGCGCGGCTTTTTGTTTTTTTCAATGCCGAGGGCATGGATCGGGCAGAACGGTTTTCGTTGTAGAGAGTGAAGTCTTTGGTGGATACCCGAGCACCAACGTCCTTGAACAGAAGAAACGTATTGTTGCAGTCTGAAGATTCAGTGCGCATCCCCCAACGGCAGCACGACATAAATAACTCTTACGCGCCCCCTGCACTCACCAACCATGTTGGTGATAGTACAAGCTGCATCTTCCTCTCACATCAGACCCCCGGCTTGCTCAAGCTCCTGGCTCAAATCTCGGATCTGAACAAAGGCCACGCACATCCGCATGGAGAGAAGTGGCAGGGTCACTTGCCGAGAGTAGGCTTCTTTTCCATCGTGGGTTACGCGAAAATGAGCAAGTTATTCCATCGGGGAATGAGGCTGTGAGATGCCAAGGCGGACTTTCTCTCTCTGCCTCTCTCTCTCTCTCTCTCTCTCTCTCTCTCTCTCTCTCTCTCTCTCTCTCTCTCTCTCTGGGCATCTCTCTCGCGAGACCAAACACACGAACCTCCTGTGCCTGGGATCGGTACTGGTCATCCAGGTAGGGTCGCATCCCCAGCGCCTCCCGGTACCCCGTGATGGATTCAGCGGAAGTCTCGTAACCCAGACCGTATACAATACTTTCCTGTTGCCGCGCGCCGCACAAACATCAACGTACGGAAAGAACGTTGCAGGATCTTTACTCGGACCGCTNGGGGGGGGGGGGGGGGGGGGGGGGGGGGGGGGGGGGGGGGGGGGGGGGGGGGGGGGGGGGGGGGGGGGGGGGGGGGGGGGGGGGGTCTGCAAGCGCTCGCGTTCCTCCTCGCTTGGTCGCAACGGTACCCAAGCAAAGCGCGAAGCGACGCGCCGGTTACGGAAGGCGCAATGTGGCGCGAAGGAGCACGTTTCCGTGCTCCAATCAGTCCCCACAGCAAGCTACGCTGCACACACATACTTCTATCGTTCCGGTCTGATTCAAACAAGGCGTGACTCTTCAGGCTTGTGAGGAAAGCAAATATTCACCTGCATCTCCAACTCGCTCTGGTGCATTCGCAACAGCCCGGCCATCGCCCTCGCCATTTCCACCGGCGTCATGGCGCAGCCGGAGTCCCCGCGGTCTAGCGCCTGCAGGGATGCCCTCGACCGCACTTCTCGACGCTCTTCTCGGCTCGCCACATCGTCCGTGTTGTAGAACGAATCTGCCTCATGTCGGCATGTCGGTGACACAAAGAAAGGAATGTATGATATAACACGGCGGTGCGCCGTTTATTCTCGGCCTGGCGGTTTTCGCGTGCATATCGGAGGGCAGGTTTTGGCACGCACCTTGCGTCGAAACAAGTGATTGGCCGTCAAATGCTTTGTCATTTTTTGTTGTCGAGCCGTAACCATGCGAGTGAGGCCCTGCCGTTACCGGAAAAATATTGTGCGCACCCCCCTATAGTTCATGCACACCCAGACCGAGTTACTTGGTTCGGCCAGAAGATCCACAGCACTCTCCCGAAGTAGGGACTCTTACGCGTGGATAGAGATGGGTTCGCGGTGTTATATATCAAGACAAACACAAGACAAACATGTAAATTACAAAGTGGCCCGCGGGTCGAACCGCCATTTTCAAAGATCTACAGGTATAATAGTTTCCGCTGACGCTTTGAACATTCATCGCTACTGCAGAAATCTATGGTAGACTCTTTTCTAGGATGAATATGGATTTGTTGTGTCGTACTATGAAAATAACACAACAAAACATACATACATCCGAACAAGAGTTTGGAGTTGAGCGCGCGGCACAACAACGAAAGAAGGCTACACGGTTGGGTGAGGAAGTGTCGCTGGCCTGCGGAGATGTGGAGATGGGGACTGCGGCTATGAAGTGAGCCCCCCGAGCTACGCGGGACGGGAACACCCTCGGACACAATCCGGAAGGGGGGGCAAAAACCACAGAAGAAAGAAGAGAACCGCGGCATCTGCTGCAAGGATAAAAATTTGCGGCGGGGGTAGTAGCTACTTCTGCTGCTGCTGCAGCTGCTGCTGCTGCTACATACTTTGTCGCGCTGTTGTTGGTCAGCATACAGGAGGAGGACGAGGGGGTATTCTATTGCTCGCCGGTTGGCTGTGGAGCCCGTGGTTGTGCGGCTGCTGTGAAGACTCTCCCTCGTGCTGTGTAGCAACGCAGCGAGAGCGAAACAACGAACAGTTCTACTACCACCGACCCTCGAGGCCAACTTGCGGGAAGCGCGGTGGTTCGCTCGCCTGCTTTGTGGTCGATTATGAATGTTTATTCCGCTATTCCGCTCACCACAACTAAATTGTTCAGGGCGTTCTTCAACTTCAGCTGGAAAACATACAACTGCCGTATGCATTGAGGTCTTTAATGCTTGCACCTGATCAAAACCGTGACTTTCTGTAGATAATTCCGCTCTTGGACCAGGTGTGTGGTTTCTGGGTGCACAATTCCCTGATGAACGCCGGCTTGATTGCACCCATCGCCCGTCGTCGCAGTACAGCAGTGGTGTCTAGTCGCGCACCGGGTGCAACAAAAGAAACAAGAGAGAATGATCACTCGATGTTTGCACCGGTAAATATTATCGGTGGTTACGCCTAAGTCCAAGTCCGTATCTACTATTTACGTTACGTGTGCATTTCGTACAAACAGCAGTCTGCTATGCAGGTAGATATCAGTGAAAACAGAACCTAGACAATAAATCACAAATTAGTGGTGTCGCACTTTTCGGAGTCATCGCACCGGGGTTCCTACGAAACTCCACAGTAGCCCACAAGGCGGCTGTGTAGTACTCGGCATCGCATGATAGTGTCGGAGCGGTATCGCACTGATCGGGCGGGGCGGGGGGCTGCCTTCTTTCAAATATTTCAAAAATTATAGTTTCGGACAGGGGCTCCAAATTTTCCGGGTTAAGGAAGCAGACTTTGATATAAGAAAGTTTCCTGGAAACTTCGTGCAGGTGAAATTTTTCAGATTTAAGCGGCTTCATGTGATTGGCTGTGGGTCAACAGTCCTCCCACGAACTTCCCCTGTCCGCAGTTGCTGCTGTTTTTTCGTGGTGCGCTGCGTGACAGCTAGCTGTGCACCTTGCTTGATGACAAGGGGCTCTCACTGCTGCTGCTGTTGAGTGTGGGTGCGTGCGTGCGTGCGTGCGCGTGTCCGTGTCTGCGTCGCTCTCTCAACCCCAGCACACGAAATCGCACCACACCTGTACGGAGACAGGAAGTGATTTCTGTATACTGGCCGACGACAACCTCTGTACGAAGTGCTATGTCCAAACGAGACGGGGGGGTTGGGACCGGGAGGCACATCCGAGTCGAACGCTCTTCTTTCCAGTAGACACCAGAGAAAAAACTCGCGCGCGCGGAAGGACGCGGCCCGCCTTCATCAGGAGGCCACTACGTGCTCTTCCTCCTCTCTGCTCTTCTTTCTGCTGGCGGCGTTGCCACCAAGTCCTAGGTTCGTACGCTTTTCCTCCCCCTTGCCTCAATCTGACGGGCGTGTTGCTGACCTCACGCCAGCCGGAAAAAAAAACAACTTTGTGACCGTGCAGCCTCCCTGTTCTTGTGTTGGTGGCGGGCCAACTCCAAGGCCTTTCGCTGGGCGCTGGCCTTCTCTTTGGCCGGGCTGAANCTCCCCCTTGCCTCAATCTGACGGGCGTGTTGCTGACCTCACGCCAGCCGGAAAAAAAAACAACTTTGTGACCGTGCAGCCTCCCTGTTCTTGTGTTGGTGGCGGGCCAACTCCAAGGCCTTTCGCTGGGCGCTGGCCTTCTCTTTGGCCGGGCTGAAATGTTCTCAGCAGACTGCTGTGTGTGCGTGCGGTGGTGCGTGTGATGTGTTACTTGAAGAAAGTTGCTAAATCGCAAAATCGTGAAATTTTTCCCACAAACCAAGCCTCCCTCGGCTGTTAAATCTGCAATATATTTCCTTGTTGTGGGTTCTGGCGAGACTGTCAGGAGCGATCCTCAGAACGACGGCTTAATTCAAAATATGTTTCCATAGTTCGGAAAAAAATTGAGTCCGAAACTGTCAAATAATTCACGAAATAATTCGAAATTCCATTTTTTTTGTGAAGATTAATGATTTAAAATACCCCGGAGGTTTCCATGTTCCCCGGAGGTTTCCATGTTCAAATTGTATTTCCGCCCTCCGCACCACAGCAGCGGCAGCAGGCAGCGAGTACCGGTTCGGACCCATCGGGGATTAGACGATGGCACGAGGGGGGTGCGATAAATAGCCCAACACACAGCAGAGTGGGAAAGAGAAGTGACTTCGAAAGGCAGTTGTATTAGAGTGCTGACGACATGGTCGAAAGCGGTGGTCTCCATGTCGGGATACCATTTCTTGGAACATTCCTTGGGTAGGTGCAGCCCTGTGCAGCAACCTAGCGCCGTATAGCAACCTAGCGTTCATAGTGCACAACAGCCTAGCTCTGACACCGTCCGTGCAGCAACCTTGAGTTGACGTTGCACAACAACCTAGCCCTGACGGTGCACAGCAACCTAGCCCTTACCCCCTCCTGCGCCGCGGCTTAGCCTGAACGGGACAGCTGCAACCTAGAACGCAAACGGTGCAGCAACCTAGCTTTTTCACCGTGCAGCAGCCCAGCGTTGCCACGGCTTGCCGCGGCCTAGGTTTGCTTTGTACAGTGACTTAGCACTTTCCAATGCCATAGGCGTGGGTCGGGTCGGTTGGGTTGGGGTTAGGGATAGCGATGTATCCTAGCCCTGAGCCGTGATAAAAAAAGTACAGCCAGTGCACAGGATTCGAACCGGCAAGGAGTAATTTGGGGAGAGCGCGGTTGACTCATCGGGGTAAATCCTCCTCTATATACTTAATCTCTGGTGGTGTAGCCAGGCCTCTAGTTTCCCCTGGAAAATTCCCGTCAACCATTACTTTCGACCAAGTCGTCAGCACTCCGCTCGAAAGGGTGCTCACGCGCATTAAGTCTATTGAACTTACCGGTCATCCCCGCGCACACTCGTTTTCGGAACACATTTATTTTTCGGTCCTCATGCTACTTTCCAGCAGTAGATTTTACATTATGAAGATCTCCAAGCGTTTTGAACCATGTTACATGGTAACAAGCCGCTGAACTGACCGATCTTCTTGTAACCTCGCCGAGCGAAAAACGGGGAAGAAGTGAAAACCCGATTGCAGGCAGTAGTCTATATACCTACTCCAAGAGTGCCCATCAGCGACTCTATCCCATCCCCTCTTCTCTCACTTATGCAAGCCCTCGCCCGCTCGACCTCCTCCGCCATCTGCTGCAGAGTCTCCTCGTTCCGAGCAAGCTGCTCTCGAGCCAGCGCCAAGCCTTCCTCCGCCCTCACGTACGCACGGCGTGCCGCCGCCCCCCCATCATCGGCTGCTGCCCCTGCTCCTCCTCCTCCTCCTCCTCCCGATGCCCAGCCCCCTTCCCATTGATGCGCGCCGAACATGCTTGGTGCTGCTCCTGCTCCCGCCCCCGCCCCCCGTGCTTCCTGCTCCGCGATGAAGGCTCCGCGAGCGCCTGCGGAAGATGGTGGTGCGTGCCACACGATGACGGGCAGGGGTTGTTGTGTGAGACAGATTATAGATGCTGACGATCAACAACGTAGCAAGAGGATTCAACAAAAGGGGGAACCAAAACGCAAGCACACATCACGGCAGGAGCGTAGTAGCGCTCCGGAACGCGCCCCAGGTGGTCACATTTCCCATTCATTCGGGGGAGGGGGCATGCACAGCAGCGTCAGAGTCTTTTCCTTGGGGTGTACAGCTGCATCAGCTTCCTCCTCTTCATGTCTATCTCCAAAAAGCAGTCACATTGGTTGCTGCTTCGGTCGCTCTCCCTGACTGACCTTCGAAGACGTCGATAGCCCGGATGATAGCTTCGTTTCCTCTACTCTGCATTTCCGCGAGAGAGTCGAAATCGCGCCAGTGCCCCTCGATCTGAGCACGCATGCCCTGGTGGGACGCCATTCCTCAGCGCCGAGCACAGCAGGGGTCTTGGCCGGGAGGAAGGACGCGAAAGCCGAAGACGAAACGGGCTAGTTGTTCATTTCCCCTTGGTGTGGGGGGAAAACGGCCAGCTGGGTGGGGCCTGTCTGTGTATGCATACCTCCGCATTCAAGGGTCCCAACCAGAGAGACTAACTACAGAAGTCCGGGGGGGACTGGGGGGGAGGGGTGTGTCGAGGATTCACCACTATCCCGCCCACACATATCCGGCTGGCTACCAGAGACGATGCAGGAAGTGTCTCCTTCTTTCAGCGATGCGCATCGGCCGCCGACAGCAGTGCGGCGGCGGCGGCGGCGGCCATGGCGTTTTGAGAACCGTTCATCAAACTGCAGCATCGTGCTCGCTTGTAGTAGCATGTTGTACTGCTGCAGTAGCAGCGGCAGAAATGGTTGTCCTTCTGCGCAAGCCTTCGTCGCCTCGCCAACAACGCACGAACGATCTGCTCCCGCGCTAGCTTTCCGTGGGCGTGGACGAGGAGGATCAACCAACTGGGCCGCGGAGATGGCGTTCCCTGGTGAGAAACTCTCCCAAAAAAGTAACCGACCACTGCTGTGCAGCTGTACAGCAGTGTAAATGTCATCCTGATATGAATGTTCATGCATGTGGCCGCGAGCAAACTGCGTTGTCTAGAGTACTACTGCTGTAACATGTACAAACAGCACCACATGTGCATAGTTTACTGCATACTGGAGTACGCTGCCCACCCAAGACTACTGTCGCATAAGCCTATAGTAGTGGTGGTGTTGGACTGCGCGACCAGTTTTGGATTAACTGCTGCTGAAACCTGCACGTGTTGTAACTGCTGCTGAAGATGATTTAGTCACAGATTACTTGCCGGATCACAACTGCTGTTGTTATCTATACTCCCTGGCAGGTAACTGCCGCAACAAGCAATTTGTTTGTTTCATCGACCGCGCTAACGCGCCAACCGGCTTGAAAGGACACCAAAGCGCGTGTGTGCTTGTACATGTAGGAGGAGGATGAGAGGCTGCGTGTGACACCGCTGCTGTCGGTGTTGCTGCTGCTGTACACCAATCTCCAGCCACCGAAACTCGCGAACGGCACATGTTTTAGTGTACACGGTAGTCTACACTACATTCGGCGGTTGCTGAAAAGGTCTCGCGGAATAGGTTTCTGCAGCAAGTCTAGTGTACTGCTGTGTACATAAGAAGACTCGAAAACGACTTCCGGATAAGTGTTGATCTTCGATGCAAAATCGGCAGGAGATCATGGATGGAGCAGTGACACGCGCTTTGGAGCAGTGACACGCGCGGCACGCGACTCTGCACCTCTTTCCTTACAATCACCTCGAAGCTGTGTGGAACTTGTCCCACCACAGATGCAGGTTGTCGTTGCTTCCCTTTGCTCTCTCCTTGAGGATGCTCTCCTATCGCCTAGCATGTAAACCATGCAGCCGGGATCCAACACAAACCAAGCCCAAACGCACACTGACCAGAAGGGCAGGATGAAACCGGAATCTTGCATGACGACATACATAGCACAACATCCGATGTAACCCAAATAACCATGGTGACGCACCATCACATAGCTACCTCCGAAAACCATGACACCCAGATCTGTTTCTTGGGCCGTACTGTCGAAGGATGCAGCTGGGTCCATTCCATTCACGGTCCTCTACTGTCCCACGCACCGTCACAGGCCCGTTCAATCTCAATACCCCATAACTGTAATTGTCCAAGGTAGCTTGTAGCGGTGTGAGCTACCGCTTATGCACACGACACGAGGTAACGCACCGACGTTAGATAAAGTACGCACCCATAGAGTTCAACACTCGTTGATGTATTTTCATAAATAACCAACAGTTGTCCCCCCGGGGGTGTAGTATCTTGTCTCATGTACGGCTGCTGTAGTTTACACCAGTACTTCGGACGCTGGTAATAGAGATAGAGAAAGTTGTAACCGCTGCTCGGTGCGGCATCTAGGAGGCTCGTTCGCTCGTTCTTGTGCACCACTTCCCACCTTGTCTTACGCGTCTCGTGTGTGTACGTTGGGTGCTTGCTCTTGCGGATCTCATTTTCGAAATCAGTCATAATCGAGATCTCTCTTGATCACCCCCCTTGAAGCACGCGGTGTCTCTTAGACTGCCGCGGAGAGGGAAGGGACTACAGAGCAGTATCGACCGTGAAAAGAGTTCACGTATTTGTTCCACATGGTGAAAGTGGTGAAAAGTAGGTGTGAGTTTGATCCGTGCAGGCAATTCTGACAGTCGATTGTAGTGACCAGGTGCGCACGCAACGTGATACCTGCTCTTTCGCTACTTAGATGGTAGCGACGACCACCCGACAAACCGGTGCTGCTCCTCCTTGGGAGTGGCCGTTTAAGACTCATCCCCTGTGATATTTAAATTTCATCCCAGTAAACAGAAGCTCTCGTCTTTTCCCTATCCAATAATTGCCCTCCACCTATATACCGCAAATACCGTTGTACTCGGTATCCCCATTGGGGAACATGCGTGCACGCGCGACACCCCTTGTAACACGAAACCTGCAGCGGGGAGGCTTTGGTGCTTCAACACCGCGCTGGCCTTCACGCGACAACAAATGATCGACATGGGCCTCGTGCCGCCAGAGGCGTCCGAGCAGGAGGCACAAGACCTGCTACCATCGCGCCCCCCCTCCACGGAGGAGGAGGAGGGCGCAGGAGGTCATCCGGCGGCAATAGCCGATGACGCCGAGGAGCCGGCAGAGGCTGTAGGCCTGATCGGGCACTTCGAGGCCTCGCGCCTCTTGGTCCAGAAGGGCAAGGAGGGGACTTTCGTGGGATCGTTGGACATGAGCATGACGGAGCGGGAGCTCGTCTCGACGGAGGAGGGTGTCGGTGAGGGTATATAAATAGGGTCGTTCTGCTTTTTGCGTGACATCCGCGGCCTTGCACCAATGGTGGCGATGATCCGTAAAGACGCGTGTTTTGTTTCTTGTTGGTGCGGGTACAGATGTAAACTCGACGCAGTAGCTGCAAACGATGTGTGCATGCAGGCAGGTAGCGCAAACCGTGTGCTGGCTCTAAACTTGTCGAATGGCATCTCTGAAGCCCCTGCAGCTTAGGCAACAATGACGCCGACACTTCAAAAACACCGCTCTGATTGCTTGTGGTGTTTGTTCCCCGTCTTCGTCAGTCAGCGCACGCGTGCATGTGTTCGCTGGAGCAACGAGCACGTCTCTCGCTCGTGCCCGCCGCATGCCCCCGTGGCCTTGCCCAAAAACAATTCCGCGCTCGAGGTGGAGCATTCAAGCCGTGCGCTTGTGCCCCCTGCTGCCGGGGATGCTCTTTGTTACGTCGATTCTGGTACATACTGCTGCGGGTATGAATCGTTTTCGACAGACGTTGGGAATTTGTGGGTTCGTGTCTTTTCCAACACGCGGTCGGTCATGTTTTTGCTCTCCGCGTTTGGCCGTCCCTCCTTGTACCCCATATGCCTGTCGGTCTTCGACAACGTGGTGAACGAACGTTCTTCGATGCTCCTTGCGGGGGCGTCCTCAACAAGCCCTACCGCCTTCTCCCGCCGCCGCGGACGGCGACGCCGAGCCGAATCTCGTGGCCTCCTGGGACGAGCTCGCCGTGGTGCTCAAGAAGGCGAAGAAGGGGCAGTACGGCTGCTGGGAGCTGTACGCAGACGGAAACACGCCTTGCAAGGCAAGATGCAAGATAATCGCGAATCAAAAAAGAGGCAGCGCCCGTACATTGTACGTTCATTTTGTTGCAGACGGAACGGGCCGGCCGGCCGGCCTGGGGCCTGTACCTGCTTGCTCTCGTGCCGTGGGGGACACGGATGCTTGAGGGCATTCGCGAAGCGGGCGTGACATGCTGCTGCATGTTATGTGTCTACTACTCAGCGGTCTAGTGGTTTGGCGTTTTGGTTTGCATGTTTCCTGTGCCGTCTGCCACAGCAGTAGTCCGACCAAGACGGCGCGCCACTTGAGAGAGGACACAACAGCAGTGGTCTGCGTCTGTTCCCCCAACACGTCTGCGCACGACCGTTCGCTTTCTCGGGGGGCATAGTATGACAGCAGTGGGTAAAACTTGTTTCGTGTATCGGCGGTGCTCCGCGGCTCCCAAGGTCGGCCGCCCCGCGGTGTGTCAGGAATCAAGAGGGCATGCACATACCTCCGGCATTGAAAAACTTGTCGTGAAGACTACAAAACGCAAATAAAGAGGCAAAAGAGGGCTTGTATGGTAGCCCCGACCGACGGCTTTACTGGACTTCTGACTCGAGCTCTTCGAGTAAGTACGCAAGCAAGCACTGCACCATCCCTTTTCCCCATGAACAACATGCTTCGTTGGTGGGCCTCCTTCTCACTTACTGCCCGCATCGGTGCCTGTCGTTGTGCCTCCCTCTCCATATCCTCTCGCTCCTCGAGTAAAGGTGTCGGACATAAGCGAGACCACCAGCCGCCCCGCCATGCTCTGCGCGCCCCTCCGATCTGCGGGACCCCCCACGATGGTACTGGGGGGGTTCGCGATGCACAGGATAAGCGGGGGTGACCAGAAGTCGGTGCGCACGGTTGGATCTGTTTTGAGTGCGGCGAGATGTCTCTCTCTCTCTCTCTCTCTCTCTCTCTCTCTCTCTCTCTCTCTC